CATATATAATACCAATCAAATTCATCCAGAGAAATTTTTTAATAGCAGTGAAAATTACTTTTTGTGTTGCGTTTTTAGAAACATACTTTGGGAGTGCCTTTATAATACCAATCAAATTGATCCAGAGAAATTTTCCTATAGCAGAGAAATTTGCTATGTGCATTGTGTTTATTGAAATGTGCATTGCGTTTTGTGAGGTCAAATTCATCAAGTGAAATTTGTCAATAGTAGAGAAATTTGTGAGGTCAAATTCATCCAAAGAAATTTACTATGTGCATTGTGGCAAATTTATCCAGAGAAATTTGCTAGTAGCAAAGAAAATTACTTTGTGCACTATGTTTTGTAAGGTCAAATTCATCTAGAGAAATTTGTGAGGTGAAATTCATTCAAAGAAATTTACTATGTGCATTGTGGCAAATTCATCTATAGAAATTTGCCACTAGCAGAGAAAATTACTTTCTGCACTATGTTTTGTGAGGTCAAATTCATCCAGAGAAATTTGCTAATAGTGCACTGTGTTTTGTGTGCTCAAATTCATCCAGAGAAATTTACCAATAGCAGAGAAAACTACAATGTGCATTGTGTTTTTTGAATTTGATGATTGTTTCGTACCAACACAGTGCATTACATATTACATGATCATATAAGCACCCTTTTGGCACGATACGAGTTAAATTTTTTTGTGAAATTCTGGTAACTTCATACAAGAAAAATTTCTTTAGACAATTTTCTTTGCGTGGATTGTGTTGATAATCACCACTAAATATGCATTATAAAAAAAAATATTTAACCATTGATAGTTATGAAATTTACATTAGTTAAAACAATATATATACATATATGTCAAAAACATCATTTCTTCAATGTACGGAAAAAAAAAAAATTGAAGGGTCATTCCTAATTACATTGTGTACATTGTCTTCATTTCACTAGTATGCTTTCACTATTATACTTTTAGTTCTTCTTTTGGTGATATTTCAATTGGTTCTGTCCATGACTGGCCAATTTCGGTCGCAAATCTCTCTATGATTTTCTGTTCTCGTGAACCTTACGTCTTGTTTTGACAATGTTGAGCTGATAGGTTCATAGTTGCTATATTGTCTCATTATGTAGCAAACGAAGAGGCCACAATCCACACTGCATACAAATTATAGGTATAGTTAGTTTTAAGAAATATTCAAATTAGATTATCTTATTTATAGAGTTTCTGTTTCTTACTTAGTGTTTATGGTGTTTTGCTGCTTTTACGTTTCGTCATTTTTAGACAATGAAACATAAAGATGTCAACATTAAATCCCAGAGAAATTTACAGACAACAAGAAAAAATGAAACATGACAAACACACACAAAGGAGAAAAGTGATGTGGCTGGAGAAAATTCAAGAATGGAACAAACTAAACATATACCAGAGAAAATTACACATGGCAAGCCAGGAGAAATTACATATATGCCAGAGAAAATTAACAAGGCAAGCCAGAGAAAATATGCATTCCATAATATAAAAATCCCAGAGAAATTTACAGACAACCAAAGAAAATAGAACATGACAGACACACACAAAGGAGAAAAATGATGTGGCCATAGAAAATTCAAGTGTGGAACAAAATAAACATATCAGAGAAAATCACACATGGTAAGCCAGAAAATATTACATATATGCCAAAGAAAATTAAACAAGGCAAACTAGAGAAAATGTTCATTTCATAATATGAAAATGCCAGAGAAATTTATAGACAACCAGAGAAAATTGAACATAACAGACAAACACAAATGAGAAAAGTGATGTGGCCAGAGAAAATTCAAGAATGGAACAAAATAAACATACCAGAGAAAATTACACATGGTAAGCTTGAGAAAATTAAACACGTGTGTATTCCATAATATGAAAATGCCAGAGAAATTTACAAACAACTAGAGAAAATGGAACATGACAGAACCACACAAAAGAGAAAAGTGATGTGGCCATAGAAAATTTAAGAATGGAACAAAATAAACATACCAGAGAAAATTACACATGGCAAGCCAGAGAAAATTACATATATGACAGAGAAAATTAAACATGGCAAGCCAAAAAAAATATGAATTCCATAATATGAAAATGCCAGAGAAATTTACAGAAAACCAGAAAAAAATATGGAATAACCAGAAACAAATGGGGGAATAAACATGCCAGAGAAAATTCAAAGAAAACACATAGATCAAGCAAATACCAGAGAAATTCAAATGACAGAAATTTACAAACAAAATCACACAAACATCTTCAAGAATAAGTTCGAAACTTAGAGAAATAACATTTTTCAAATTCATGTAGGTTTTTATTACGAAATTGAAATCCTAATTAATGGAAGGCTAGTCAACTGTGTTTCGGAGAAAAACTAGTTGGATTGGAGAAAACTTACCAGAGTGATGATGAAAACCCTAATTTCGAACTGAAATGGCTTGAGATGAAGATGCAATGAGATGAAGATGAACTGAGATGACGATGAACAATGAAAACGGGTCAGAGAAATTTGTGAGGAACGAATTGAAAAGAGTTTGGCAGAAGATAATGAAACCGTAATGGCGACAGTGAAGATGATAGTGAAACCCTAATTCTCATGTTCTCTTACTCATGAAAATGGTTGGATGTTTGGAATGAATTGAGTCGTCGGAATGCAATCGAGTTGAGCATTCTATGTTGATCTGTGAAGGGTATTTTGATCCAAAAAAAAATTAAAAACGCGCCTGTCGTTAGTGAGGGACCTGAGACATCATTCATATTTTTGGTGTCCTTTATGCTGTAAATTACTCTTATTAGGGACCTTAAAAAAAATTCCCCTAAAATAATCTATAATTTAGTGGTTTTTTTTTTTTTTGTCAATTTGAAAATTGATGTTTTAAAGTTTTGAAAATCAAAATAAATGTCAAATCATCATGTTTCTTTATAAATAATTATAAATGATGAACAATCATTATTTGAAGGACAATTCTGACTATTAAAAATTTAATGGGAGTTGAAGGTCTAAAAAATTCGGGCCAATTTTACACTCCTATCAATGTGAATATTAACATGTCAATGTGAATATTCACATTGTCAACAGGTCAAACCTGCTCCGGGCCGCGGGCCAATTTTACACTCCTATCAATGTGAATGTTAATATGTTAATGTGAATATTCACATTGTCAATGGGTCGAGCCGGGCTGGGCCCGCCCCAGGCAGCCCACGGGCCGCGGATAGGTTTCGGGCCGCCCACGGGCCGCGAGTCAATTTTACACTTCTATCAATGTGAATGTTAACATGTTAATGTGAATATTCACATTGTCAACAGACTAGGCCCGCTTCGGCCCAGAGGGGAGCTTCGGACCGCCCACGGGCCACGAGCCAGTTTTACATTCTTACTAATGTGAATATTAAAATATGAATATTTATAGCCCGCCCCGCCCTATCCCGGGCAACGAGCAGGCTTCGGGCCGCCCATGGGCCGCGGGCCAATTTTACACTCCTATCAATGTGAATGTTAACATGTCAATGTGAATATTCACATTGTAAACGGACTGGACCGGGCCGGGCCCGCAGGCAGATTTCGGGCCGCCCACGGGCCGCGGGCCATTTTTGCACTCCTATCAATGTGAATGTCAATATGTCAATGTAAATATTCATATTGTAAACGGGTCGGGCCGGGTCCGCGGGCGGGTTTCGAGCCGCCTACGGGCCACGGGTCAATTTTACACTCCTATCAACGTGAATGTTAATATGTTAATGTGAATATTCACATTGTCAACGGGCCGAGCCGGGCCCGCCCCGGGCAACCCACGGGCCGCGGGCGGGTTTCGGGTCGCCCACGGACCGCAGGCCAATTTTATACTTCTATCAATGTGAATGTTAACATGTTAATGTGAATATTCACATTGTCAACGGACCGGGCCCGCCTCGGCTCGGGGGTGAGCTTCGGACCGCCCACAGGCCACGGGCCAATTTTACATTCTTACCAATGTGAATGTTAAAATATGAATATTTACAGCTCGTCTCGCCCCGGGCAATGGGAGGGCTTCGAGCTACCCACGGGCCGCGGGCCAATTTTACATTCCTATCAATGTGAATGTTAACTTGTCAATGTGAATATTCACATTGTAAATGGGCCGGGCCAGGCCTGCGGGCGGGTTTTGGGCCGCCTACGGGCCGCGAGTCAATTTTACACTTCTATCAACGTGAATGTTAATATGTTAATGTGAATATTCACATTGTCAACGGGCCGGGCCGGGCCCGACCCGGCAGCCCACGGGCCATCGGCGGATTTCGGGCCGTCCACGGGCCGCGGGCCAATTTTACACTTCTATCAATATGAATGTTAACATGTCAATGTGAATATTCACATTATCAACGGACCGGACCCGCCCGCCCCGGCCTGGAGGCGATCTTCGGACCGCCCACGGGCCACGGGCCAAGTTTACATTCTTACCAATGTGAATGTTAAAATATGAATATTTACATTATAAAATTGCTAATCGTTCAAAAAATATTTGTAAGGGTATCAAAATTAAATATAAGGGCATAAGAGTCTAAAAAAATAGTATAAATCAAGAAAAAGGACTTTATGGAATAAAACTATACATACATGAGACTAAATGGGTTAATAAATTTCTTCATAAACTTTTTGAGTTAAAACACTTCTAAATGGGATTTTTCAATAATTTTTCCAAATGACATTTGTATTTAAAAAATGGAGGGTGTATCCTTAACTAACGCCCAGTGGAAGAACTTCATCAAAATTGATGGTGGATTCATACAGACCAATCATAAGCAACGTTAACAACAAAAACACATAGAATTAGGTTGTTTTGGATATGATTTATAAGTTGATTTTTTTATTTATTATAAAAAGATATATAAAAAAATAGAGACGTGATATGACCTAAATAATAAACCAATAAGCTGCTAATAAGCAAAAGAAAAATCAACATGTTGCCATTCACAGAATGTACAAAATAATAATAATAATAATAATAATAAAAAACCTTTATTCAGGATGTACCAAACATTCCTCAAATGTACATCATTGATGAATACCCAGTATCCCCATTAACAAAAAATTTTACACTGGGTTGAATAATTAAAATATAAAAAATAAAATAAAAAAAACTACCCACAAGAAATTATAAATTGCTCAGCCTCTAGAGAATTATCCCATGCTTTCCGCGGTTGCATTTTTCTCCTCATATGTCATATGTTCTTGATTATATGAACATTACATATGTACATCAAGGTTCACTTTTCGTGCCGCGTTGGATTGAATCAAGTATGGAGGAACACTATCCTATTTTTTCACAGTTTCAAAATGAAAAAATAGATTACAGAGGTGTGTTTGAGTATGAGGCCGCATTTACAAGAATGATCTCTGTTTTTTTGGCTTTTCCCTTCAAAGATTAGAAATCCAACTTGCTGGAAAGCGAGTTTTTCCTCCACCTGACTAGACTCAACAGAAATTTTTGGACCTCTGAGGGGTTACGTAGGGAGTACAAAGCCGCGGTGTCCTTTGAAGTGGAAGAAACAACAATCGGATAACCTTCTCCCCTATTCCGTATGGCCTGTGATCACCACCCAAATTAAACAAATTTTAGTAATGTTAATGAGACAGCGAAAATTGAAGCAATAATCGATGCATAAGTAGTTTCATTAAGAAAATCCTCTTAAGTTTGTTTCATTTATTTTGTTAAATTCTTTGTACACCCAAAATTTTCTGGGCAAGTAGCATTTCTGCAAGACAATAGGCATGGTAGTCTAGTATTAGGTGAGTCATCTTTTCATTATTTTGGGACTCCTGTTTTTTTTATACAATTGGAAATCATGTTTTCACCAAATCTTTTTATGACATGATCACTTGCCCTTCTTCATGTTCAAGTTAGGGCTGCCTATGAATACTTTCATCAAAGAAAATCTCTTAATATTTTCAAATCAATGTAATGGTTCCTTGAATGGCATTAATTATAATTGGGTGAGAGATAAGGTTAGCAACGTTCATTTTCAAGGATGCTCCGCGACTACGAATAATTTTATCACGAGATGAGATTGATACCTTAAATGCGTCTTCATCTGTTCGATCATCTCCAATGTACAATGGAAGGACATCATTGGAGTTGCCAAATCCCAGAGTGTCGAGTAAATAATTTAAAGCATACCCTTTATCCCACTTCATATCAGGGCGTATCTCAAAAACCTGTAAAAATTACCCGCCCAAAAAAAGAGTAAGATCAAAATTCATCATCTACTTGAATCAGAAAACTAATCATTGTTGCTTAATATTACACAAAATGTAAGAATGAGACATTGAAATTACCATTTTGCCCTCTGATACGCAGAACTCTCTATATTCTCCCATTATAGAATTTACAAGCTTTTCAAGGGTGCAAAAGTCCTGCATTTCGAACATAATATACATCAATGATTGTTCACATCATAACCTTCAAAAAATGGATACTTTAGTAACCATTATGGGCCAAACATAACTTGAATCAATTTTTCCTAACATGAACAATACATACCTCATCGTGAACGTGTCTGAAATGTACAGAAATGCAGAACTTATTGTGTTCAATCATGACACCTTGTATGTTTCTAGTCCTCTCAAGCAAAGCAGAAAATATCTGACAGAAGAACACAAATACATGTTAGATTAGAAGAGAAAAAGAGATGTAAAGAGACAGTATATAATAGATCTTTCCACACAATTTCTACTAATAATCTGCCCAAGGTTCAATTAGTTGGTAGAATTAAAATGCAAGTAAATCTCTGTACCTTTTGAATTGTGGGCGAGTACTTCTTCGCTGGTTGGAAGAGAACTACTTCATTACCCTACAAATTAGAAACACCACATTATGGAAGGAAATTCGGGTACAATTCGTTCTATTTGCACTAATATATGTTTTTTTGGGTGAATGCACTAATACATGTTAATCTCCTAGTTTAGGCCAGTTTAATTTGGTTGATTTGAACTCAATGCAAACCGTTTTCCAAGAAAAAAAATGTATTTTTAGCTTCAAGTATTATAAAATTTAAATTAATTAGATCACCAAAGATGTTGAAATGTGTCTACAAAGTTTTGTACTTAAAAAATATGAGAAACTCACATTTCTATCAACTCCTCTAGTTTGATGCTTGGGATCTGCATAGTTTGGAGACTCTAATGGAGCTGCTATGTCCAACCCATGACTTCCAGCATAATAAACATTGTCGAGTTCAACAAAGTCATACACCTAGACAAGAAAAAAAATAGAGATCTAATGTATCATTACTTGAGTAATAACACGTTGATTATGCAATTTTCTTGTTGATTATAAGTAATTAATACCTTGTCACGGCTCCTTCCACTTATAATTGCAGTGGGAAAGTAACGGGCAACTTCACGCACAGTCATTCGCATCTGTAATATTATTTCATGACATTCGTTAATATTGTCAACTGTTATTTAAGTCTGATAACTTACACACCATATTATTATTATTATTTTGGTGTTTCAGAGACTGTAGATCGAACTCTTGACATTCTAGTGAAGTGCAAGTGCTATGTTTATGTTTTGTGTGGATTGATTACCTTATTGGTCATAAAAGCCTTTTCAGGGTTGTCCACTATGTTTGAGAGGGTTCCATCGTAATCCAGAAACACTACAATCTTTCTCCCTTTCGCGATGCTCATCATTTGTTCGAATGTGTTTAATGCAGAAGGATGTTTTAACTGTATAAAAAGAAATTAGATAAACAAAATCAACTTGGGATTTAATGTAACATACGAGAAAGAAAAGGAATCGTACACAAAACTTGGTTTTAATCTAAAGGACCAAATTAAAATGACAACTTAGAACTTACCAGCCATGAGTCGCATGAAACCATAACAGAATTTCCATTTTCGATTGCTGATAATTGTGGCAAACCCATCACAAGGCGATGAGGTGAAAATTTACTTCTACCTGCAAGAACTTTTTCTTGTTAGATTGTTTAAGTACTTGACAAAGCGTATCAGTTAAGTAGTCATTGAAGAACTTCTAGAAGAATCAATTCTCTGAAGAAAAAAAAAGTAGAGGGTAGTGTATAGAGCTTTCCAACATACTCTATGCTATATATTTTTGAGTTTCAATAACTCAACAGGTGATTGTCACAGTTGCAATGGGTTGAGTCAGATGATAAAGACTTGAACCAAGGTTTAAAAGCTAAATTAAACTTGTTAATGGTTACTGTATTTGTCTGTTTTCAACCACCATTGGCACAGTTGCATGCTCTCTCTTGCTTGCTCTCTATTTCTACGTGTGTTAGACAAGACTTTTAAGTCCAACCAATGATCAAAATTTCATTTAGATATGTTGGCCCTGTTTGGTAGAGCTGTGGGAAAGTGCTTATAGCTTATGCCTCAACAGCTTATAGCTTATAACTTTCAGCTTAAGCTGATTTCCAGCTTATTCTTAAAGCATCTCCTGCCCCACTCATAGAATAAGCTGATTTCTGACTTCCAAAAAAGCTATAAGCTATAAGCTAAACTAAACACATCAAAATAGCTTAAATTAAGCTGAAAGCTGAAATAAGCTGTAATTAAGCTCTGCCAAACAGGCACGTTGTTTTGGTCAGCTTATAAACAGAAACATTTCTGTAACATAAGGGAAATGAGAAAAAAGAAATTGAAAGCGTTTTGGAAATAAAAACTAAAATCTAGGCAAATGTTAATACATTCTCTATATAATGAAATAATTGAATGTATTGATGTCTATGAATATTTGAAGCTCATAAAAAACAGGTTTCAGTATGTATTTGGTGGAAATATTGGATTTTTTGATATTTTATTAATGTTTTGTTTTGGTTTTTTAGGAAACAAAAACTTTTCATGCGTTTTGATATGAAAGAAACGAAATATTATTCATTGGGTCCAACTGAATGCCTAAGTACGGAATATACTAGTCCACAACATCCGTCAATTTGAACATTGTTTTCCAAGAAAATCACCATAAAAACATGCCCTAACAAAATTGGTAACATTGATTCATGCAATTTCAGGATTTTTACCAAACAAATCATGCAATGACAGATGCCTAATTTGGATCACAACCATTATCAACATATAATAATCCTAACGAGAACATGCCCCAGTGGAATTTAGGTAAAGGTCGTTTTATATAATAATATATAAATGACCAGACTTCTTCCCCAACTACGAGTTGACTCGCTAAGACATGCGAGTTTCTGCTTGTAACCATTTGATAAAGACCTAGCTTGATCATATAGGAAAGTACAAAGAGAATAGGAAGTGATTTTGGTTTCTCTCTATTTCTCTTCATATCCAAACAAGTGATTGGGTTGAAAGAGTTACTTTTCTTTTATTTTCCCACCAAATCACCCAATCTAAACTAAGGATTAAAATTTCGTTTCGATGGGTTGTTTCCACACGATTCTTTTCTCAATATTTTGCCATTCCATTACTGTTTCGTTTCGGTATCATGAGGCTTGCATTGCCTGCTGGTTATGGCCATGGTGGTGAAGGCACTACCAACCAAACTTGAAGCCTGTTTGTGGCCAGTTTGGCGTGAAAGAAGTTGAAGCGTGTCTCCTACTACCTCTAGGGAAAAAGAAAAGTAAAAAAGCAAGCAAGCATTGAAATAATGGGTCTCTTTTGTTGTTTCTATACGGTTATTATTGCCTCTGTTAGGTTCTAATTAATTAATCAATCAAGAATCTTTACAAGATCCATGATGGCAAAGTCATTTGAAGCACTTTTTTTTTTTTTTTTTAATAAAAAAAAATATAGATATAGCAGAAATTACAGTATAAAATGCAATGAACTCTCAAAGTGGGCTAGAAATTCAATGTAACAATGATTTAAAATTAAAACCGACAAGTGGTACGTAATTGGTTAGAATCACTGCACTTTACTAGGAGGTCAAATAAGTCTCGGCCTCGACTCCCCTTCAATGTACCAAAATAATGGCAAAAATAAAAAATAAATTACTATATGCGTATTTGTAAATCTCATTATACATATGTTACATTCAAATAGTAAGCATTACTCATTACTACACCATTATATCTAATATTTATTTTGTTAGTGATTTGAAATGAAAAAAAAAAGTACTAATAAATAAAGAGTTAATTAAAATATGAAAGAAAGCAATAACACAGCATTTAAATTTTGTGGAAAAGATTTGAATTTTAACGAATGCAATTGCTAGGGTATTAGGGTGCTTTCGAATGAAAATCAAAATAAAAGCTACGATAGAACGAGGCGTTCGAAGATTGAAGAACACAATGCAAAGTCTAGTATCAGAAACAGAGTAGCTCTGTCAATGTGTGTGTGTGAGAGAGAGAGAGAGAGAGAGAGGAGATTGAGTAATATTGATAATTAAGCTTTGTGAAACTCAAAGAACAATGGCGTACCGGTGTTTTGTTGTTGATCTTGGAGAGAAACTGTATATATATATATATATCAAAACCAACTTAACGTGCAGAGTCCTCACGAGAGAGAGAGTGAGTGAGTGAGTGAGTGAGTGAGTGAGTTGGAGGGAAGAAGGGAAGCGGAAGCGGAAGGCATATATATAGATGTGGAGAGATAGAGGGAGAGATTTTTAAAGAAAATTGTAAATGAAAAAATATATTTAAAATGATGTTTTAATTATATTTTTAAAATTATGAAAATGAACCAAAATAATTGTGAGGTATTTTGATTGAAAATGAAGAAATCATGAGGAGTGTGCGTGGTGCAGTTCAATGTGATTTAAGAGTAAAATTATAAACCAAAATATGAATAACAAATTGATAAATAACTAAACTGTTGTTTGGACAGTTTCAATTTGTTATTTGATTACAAAACAATCTTAAACAATTATGAAATATTTACATATTGTATGGTAATACTAATTTGCATAATATTTTCATATATAATTCTAATTTGTAACAAATTTCACATCTAAATATTTTTTACATTGATTTTTATTTTTATATTTTATTAGAGATAATATATATATATGCCGATTTTAAATAGAGATTATAAATTTCAAACCATATGTCAAACTAATCCACAAATAATGAGCGGATTAGATAATTTTAATGAATTAGAGAGTATTTTACACAGCTTTAAAAACCATAAGCACGTGCCTACCCTCAACTTTACTAACATTACCACCATGTTTGGTTTTTTTTTTTTTTTTACAGTTTTTTCCAGAATATGTATTTTGAATTATTTTTTGAAAAGAAATAAAAATTATTTTGATAAAAATAAATATTATAAAAAAAATATTTTTTAAATATTTAAAATTATTAAAATCATAAGAAAATTATGAATATTTTTTTCACCAAATTAATTGTGTGATTTGTTAAAAAAATTGAAAAAACAAATTTTGTAAACAAACCAAACAAAGCCTATATTTTTAGCTTAAGATTTTGAAAATGTATGCAAAATTTTCTCCTAAAATATGCAATCCCAAAGACAATTAACTGGAATAAGGATAATAGAGATTGACTTCTTAAAGAGTAAGAATCAAATTATTTAATTTAAAATTAAATAATAGAAATTTAAGTTTAACTACAAAGATTAAAAACTATAACTTTATCCTTTTACAATTTACATAACTATTAATGACAAAACTAATCTTCTAGTCTATATTTGAACCTACTACACATATATACAAAAACGTGTCCTTATATTAAAACTAGGACTTCAAACAAAAGGCAAATGAATTCCAGGTAAATCTTGTAATTGGGTGGATCCAATAATTAAGATTATGATTGAGATTTTCATTTTTTTTAAAATTTATTTTTGTTATTTAAAAAGGACAAGAAGGTGTCCTTTAGTCTTGGCCAATTGAGATAGCAAATTCTTATGATCATGGTGGAGAATCAAATCTAGAGTAACCACAAAATCACGAGTCATCACTTAATTATTACATTAGTCATTTTCAATATATTTCATGACACTCGTGTCAAAAACCTAAAAAATAAAAAAAAATTGCATGCATTGCTATCTAGTCATGCAAATAATCAAACATTTGATATAGTTCTTTTGTCCAATTTGATAAGTCTTACTTTTCATTTTCAACAATCCTATTTTATCTTTCAAAATTCTAAAATATTTAATTTTCACATTTTCATAATACACTTTTCTAAAAGAAAAATAAATCATAGGTCAATTTATAAACTGAACACAGCACACGTTTAATATGTCTTAATAAGTGTGATGTCCAATTTGTCACTATGACTAATAATTTTCAATCACATTACTCGTATTAAACTTGTAAATTAGTTAATCTCTAATCTATACTAAATATAATTCATATATTTCAAAAATTACCTAAATGAGACATTTTTATAGATTTTTGTCTCGAAATTTCAAGTTATTTAATTACTCTCTTTTTCACAATACCTTTCTTTAAAGAAAAACTAATCATAGGTTGACAAAAGCATTTCACGATACCTTTCTTATTAAATATATATTCAACTGGCATAATTTATATTTCCAAAAATTATCCAAACCAGACAAAGGCATTTTTATAAATCTTATTATTCAAAAGAACTTTATTTTAAATTATGTGAATGGTTAACTATACCACAAAATGTGGAAGGCATGGAGTACTAGGAAGTTAGGTAGGATAACCTTTGAAGTTGCTATGAAATCCACTTATTTGTTTGGCATATCTTTCAACAAAACTTTGTGGTAGTGCCTTCTCTTCCTAAGAAAGAGATCTTCTTTGTCTTGCACATAAATGCAATGACCAGTCAAATTTTAGTTCCATCAAATTCTTTGGCCTTTTTTGGTCTAGTTTATAATTATTTTCAATAGAATTTATATCAATGTGTTTGATACAAATTTTGTTTATAATTTACGAAACAAAACAATTTAAATAAAGGGAAAATATCAAAAAAAATGGAAAGTATAAAAAATAATTACAGATTCATAAATGTACAACACTCATTTGCACAATTTAGTGCATAAATCATTTGAACTTTCATAAATTTTCAATTATTTTTTTAACTCCTCACTTTTTGATATTCCCTTAAATATAAATTTAAAAGAAAATAGTTATTATAAGAGCAACCATAATAGTGTAGATAAATTTGTATGTTAAAAGTGTTTGCTAGCTGACAAAAATGTAATAAAATTGCGACACAGTTTTGTGTAGTAAATGTTTGTTGATTGGATTTAATTTGTCTCTAGTTGAAAGTTGAACTCGTCCAAACAGTTGAGGTTTTTGACCGGTAAGAATTATTAAACAGAAGACTCTTACCAGTAAGAGTTAAATGAAAATATAGTTCAATTAAATTTTTTTAAAGACTCTTACTAATCAAAGATCCAAACTGTCTGATTTAGTTCAATTTTTAACTGGAGACAAGTCAATCCCTTATTAATTTAGGCAGTGTATGGGTACTTTAAGGGTGTAGTTATAATTTGTGTTAACTATCAGTTTTACAAATGTTACAGCAAAGAGACCCTTTGTCTATGGAAAATGCTATACTTATTATAAAAAATAAAAAATAATTGTGCAAACTTTTCTTATAACCTAATGTGGCGTGCAATAATAACAGCAATGTTATGTGCAAAAAAAATTAATGTGTGATACGAATTCATTTTGAATGTGACTTTTACTATCATTAAAATGAATCTGAACACAGTTTTTTTATACACATTTATGGTAAATTGTCCCAACATCAATGCTATACAAATTAATAGATTTTATAAATATTTTTCTACTCACATAAAAAGATACCAATCACGTTATATTCAAATTTCAAAATATTATTACTACATACTACATCTGTGAATAAGAAAAGTTTGCGAATTTTATTAATTTTTATGACATTTTCCTAAAAATAAACCTATGTCTAATAATGTGGCTGCTTATGACAAAGAGTTTGAAAGTGTCATGTAACTACCTAATCTTTGTCAAGTACTTTCTTATGACCTCTTTTTCTCCATCACCCCTATTTTCCAACTCCAAGCATAAAGAGAAAAAAAAACTTCTGTTTCGCTATGTGGAAAACAAAAGGAGTTTGAATTAACAAAATCAAGAACCTAAAACATATACATATGCACACATGATTAATAATTTATAGGGTAAATTACCAACTTTCTAGATATTTTGAAAAAATTATAATAAATTTCATAATTTTACACTAACACCACTTTTTATAAGATTAAAAAAACTAAAATTTTAAATGAGTCTAATATAATTATGTTCAACTTATAGACTTAGGGGTTGTTTGGGGTGTTCTAAATAAGTACACTTTTTGTCTTTTTGGACTAAAAAATTGAGGGAAAAAATATGGATGTTTGGGTTAACTTTTTGACTTTTTATGGAAAAATGTGTAATAAAAAATTGTAAAAATTAGTTTGTAGAAGAAAATTATGATTGAGAGCTGTGCAACCGTAATTGTTGACTTTTGGTGAATAGTGTTAACTTTTTAACTTTTTGAGTATCTTTTTGATTTTTTAACTTTTTTTAAGTATCCCAAACTTGGCCTTATTATATATATATATATATTTTAAAAAAAGTCAATATAATTTACCCAACTTAAAATTAGGGAGATAAAAAGTGGTGATAGTGAAAATCTTGATAATCAAATGAATAACAAATTGTCATGTTTACTCAATTAATTTGAAGTTTTTCACTATAAGGAGCATATTTGCCTAACATTAGAATAAAAAGATGGTACATCGTTTTCACAAAAAAACTTTAACATTATGGAGATAAGGTAATGATGGTGATAAGATTTCTCTAATTTTTTTAAAACCCAAAACTAGTTGCCATTAGATAGAGGAGTCTATTAGATTATATGGAATATTCAGTTTAGGTGGCATAGAGACAAATGTCAAACATTCTCTGGACATGTGGAAGTTATAAACGAGATGTATAAATCAGACTTGGGCTCCCTTTGTCAAGGGTTAAACGGGGTGGCTATTTTAGTCACAAAAGACAAAATAAGTTATTTTAGTCACAAAAAATAAAATATGACATCTAATCCATAATCATTATATTCTTCGCTCACAAAAAAAGTTTAAAAAGTTAAAAAGTCAAAAAGTCCTTCTCAAACCAAACTTTTTAGTCCATGCTAAAATAGCCAAAAAAATCAAAAAGTCAAAAAGCCAACCCACTTCCCAAACGGAGGCTTGATCTACCAAATCACTCAAGACTTATATGAATTAGAATTTTGGATGCATCTCACTTAAAATTAGTTTGTATTAAGCAAAGGTCTTTAAATTTTATGAACCGGGTTTGGATAATTTAGAAAGATATTTTAAAATAAGATATTGAATTGTGAATTTTATGGATCGAGTTTGGATAATTTAGAAAGATGTTTTAAAATAAGATATTGAATTGTGAAGGAAAATAAATGATCATAATTTTTTTTTTTTTTTATTTTAGTCTTAAGTCTAAGATGCAAATACAACGTAAATGACATATTTGCCCAACTTTAAATGTAAAGAAGAACAAGATTAACTTTGACTCCATAATGAGTTAAAACTCTCATTTGTTTTTTCTTTA